GTTTGGATTGAATGAAAGAAGAACAGCCATATTGCTCTAGTTTTAGAAAATCGCACGTAGAATTATAAGTAACCAATACGACTATCAGTCGTTAGTTAGCGTTTGGAGGAGAACCGAAACGACAGCCTTCAGTTTAGTCAGAACTGTGGGTATCAACAAAAGATTGAGACAGATATGGAAATAAGGAAACAAATGCCGTGAGTATGGTTATCAGGTAGAATGATGCACAACTAAATGTACTAAATGCACATGTGGAAATGTCCGCTGCTCCCTGTTCTACCATCGGCTTTTGAAAGAGTGTGCAAACTGTTTTAGCAAACTTACAAGAAGCACCTTGCCCAACATTTAATTATCTAATATCTCTGAAATGAGTACGTCGTGGGACACCTGGGCACGATGATATCTTCACAACGGGATTTGTAATGGAACCACTTAGACATGGCTGAGAAAGCAGTGAACCAGTAAATATCCATACCATTGGTGTGCTTTGCAATGGAAACATTGAGCATTGCATAGTTAATCATAGGAGGGTAGACAAATAATGGGTATCAAGAGCCTCGGCAAATGGCGTAGATAAGGTGGTTAACTGAACGTTTGATATTCCCATGCGAACTGGATTTCTCATCATAATTTTACCACTTACAATTTACTAACAAACTGTCAGCATACATTTGAGTTGCAGCTATTCTTTGAAATAAATCAATTGTGGCTTTTCTGAATTTATTTTCCAATTAAATATTTATTTAAACACTACCATAACACCATAGTTGGACTAATCTACTTTTAAGTTAATCTAGATGATTGGTGAATTCTAATTTAAATTGTAGAAGGAACGTTTTCTCTTCCGCACCTTATCTCCATAATAGCTGACTTATCCTACCTTCAGAATGAGCGATGTTCAGCTGGAAATATAGCTACACTCATTATTGTGACTAATATATGAAACAGAACATGTAGCATCAACATCAGCATGTTAATCGCTAGTCAGGGACTTGCCGGGATTATTCAGCTTACACGAACGAGCCAACGTGTGGACACTTGCAACAAGAGTTGTTGGGTCTTGAACACCGATTTTCCAAACTGCATTTCAAAGCGAGGAAGGGTTGCAGAGTACATGAATTCCAGGGATAATTGTTGATCACTACACCCAATCTTTCAGTTCAATGTACGAACGAGTGTGGAATATTATGAGCAGCAACCGCTTGGTAGCCAGGAGTTAACGCGACCCATGTACGCTAACGACGTCACCATTACCGCCGGCCTTTAAGATGGGTATGCTTGAGAATGGACGACCAATCTAAGGGATTTATTAGTGTGCATTTGAATCCAACACACACACTCATACACACACCCACACACGTTTGTGGCCTTTCTCAACTGGGCATATAGAGGAGGGCCTATGTGTTGCGGACATTGCAAATGAGCAACACTCACATGGACGCTTGATGACTATTCGAGGTCACCCCCAATACGATTGATACTCTGGCCGGACACTAGGTCTGCGTGGATTGTGTGGCCCTGGTGATTGAGATTGCAAAGCACTGTCGTTCGAGAAGAACGAACGTGTTCCCATGTATTTGAGCTGCAGTCACTGTGTTGTGATATTGACACCTAGGAAAGGAAAATCCTAGAGTGCATGGTAACCTGTATTCATGCATCTGGTTTTTGAGGTTGTAGTCAATCTGGACGTTAACAATTGCGTAAGGTTCGCACCAATGCACTGGAACCAGGTGGGCTCACAGTTGTGTATCACACATCACCATCCCAATGGGAGAATATTTATCCTCAAGAACCCTAATAAGGTAACATGTAACACTTCCATTTGTAGATAAGAATAACAGCCAAAGTTTTCACGTTACGAGCATTTGCATGTCGAATAGTAAGTGCGCACTAAACAAACATTTATCGGCAATCTCAAACGTTACCTCCTTTCTGGCTGGCTCACTACTGGTATCCTTGTGGGTCCACGCATGTTAGCATAAATTGGATTCGCACCACCTATCCATCAGGATGCATGGAACACTGCGTTTGAGCGTTGTATTAATTCTGCATTATTCTCGGCCATTTAGAGCACCTCAGGCATAACACTGCACTGGACCAAGTGTATGTCACGACTAGGCATACGAAGGAGACCGCAGTAGTATGTGCGGCAGAGATATCGAGAGAATAATGAGCAATTCAAAGTAAACGAAGTCGACATGATTAGGTTAATGGTGTATAGTCATAGGTAAAGTGGTCTAGCCCAAATGCGATGAAGAAGCATCATGAATGCAACATCAGCTTCAGCATGGGGCAAACAATTAAGGTCATATGTACTTGGTAATGTACAAGGCAGAAAGTACACCCATTCCTGTGCCAGCACAACCAGCTTGATTTGGCTATGCCAGTGTACCACTGCCTTATGCGTATTCATCGACACTACTGCTCAATGGCGAGTAGTGAGTAAATTGTAACGTACAAGTCAAACCCGACCAAATTCCTTGCTAAATGGCGACAAGCAAAAATATGGATTGTACAGGATCAAAGCAACCAACTTGATTATGTGCGCTTAACATCAGCAGAACGAAGTGCAGTATAACAAGCGGTCCGGGAATAAATCCAAAGACAATGTAGCAGTACATAACACGCACCACGATGTCACCTTGTGCAACAGTCGGGAGATACCTCGGAACGCCTAAGTTATACCTACCATTATTATTTCATTGTACACTTAGGTGACGGGTGTGGATTGTTGAACTGGTTGCGGAGTTCAATTGCAGTACCCGAGCAACGTCATTTTACTTCGGGCTCGTTTTGATTACAAGGCGCAATCACCCTGTTCTTGCGTTTTCGTTTCCCCAGCTAGCAGTGTCAACGGTGCCGTTCGTTTTATCTAGGCAAACATGAAACCTCTGGTTGTACCAATAAAAGCTTTCCTGCAACCCTGTCGTCTTCCTGGAATCGCTATCCGGCTCCCGCTAAATTGATGAACACGAGTTCGGAACATCCTCGGAGTCGGATATTACAAATTTTGCTCCGGTTACATAGTTTTATTTATATTTTCATATTTTCCGATTAGTTTTGCGTACGATAGCATGTTTTTGCATCCATTTTTAAACTATGGATTCCGTAGACCACAAGGTAGTACATTCCGCTAGTGTGTATCTCTCTCTGCCACACCATTTTCAAACAGAGGCAGAGTTTTATACCCAAAGAATCACTACCCACTACACCAAGTATAGCATGCTCATGTCCTAGTTCCTCAAGGATATATCAATGCAGGTTCGAGACATTACAATTTCTCAGATCAATAAACAATTATGAGGCCCTCAGAGAGGCCACGACTAAGCGTGTCATGCCTTCTTAGAAAGCCAACCTACAGCAGCTGTTCAGGTATCCTCAGTTGGGCGATAAATTGCCCCCATCCTGCTACGAGAGAAGCAGCAACTTCTTGATTCATCAACCACTTACGAAACATTAATACGGGAACTATGATTACAGCAGCTACCAGAAAATACGCAAGCGATTCTCGCTATCGTGACCTTCATTTTGTTCACTCAACTAGCGCGCTTAGCAGATCCAGTCATTGAACGATCACAGCCACAAGCCGAGACCAGCAAGGTCAACGCCGTCGCCTCCCTTGAGCACTTCTAGCACTGGTTCACAGTGAAGTACAGATGCTTATCAAGCCCAATTTGTGACATTTAGTCGCCAAGTCCAACATCTCCCTATGAGACGTCGTCATCACAGCCGCTCAAAAGCGCCCTCCAAAAGCTCCAAGTCCAGCAACAGGCAGGCTTGCTGTTGATACCCCCAAGGCTTTGGCACCGCCGAAGGTAAGTTGCCAAGCGTTGCAACTTCGCTGAGAAGCAGGAACACTTTTCGGACGTCCGTAATGGTAGCAGTCGCCACCGGCTAGTACCAACTTCGTCACAGCCGTTTCAGGGATTTAACTTCCGACACCACGTTCCTAGTGGATAACGGAGCCGAAGTTAGCTTTATACCCCGTAGCTCTAATGAGGTCGTCTCACCGTCGCCGAAAAGACTGCGTGCCGCTAATGGCACACCAGTCGCAACGTTCGACAAAAAGTCGTTAACGCTCAATCTAAGCCTCCAGCAAACCATTTGGTTGCCGTTCATGGTATCAGCTGTGGCTTTCACTATCATAAAAATATAATTTCTAAAAATACTTCGAGCCTTTCTTCGATGCTCAAAGGAAAAATATTATCGAATCTCAGACACAGTGCAGTTTTATCGGGACTAGCGCCAAGGTGGATGGGATTACTTCTATTCATGTCCTGCCTCAAGCTTCATAGCCTTTTATAGATCCTTTTAATCAGCATCCTAAGCTCGTTCGCAATCAGAATGACTTACCTTCAGTGACGTCAAACGTCATGCCTCACATCTGCAGTAAGAACTGCCAGTTTCCGCCCGCTCATACAGACTGGCCCCAGACAAGCTCAAAGCGACCAAGGCGGAATGCAAGCGGATGCTCGAAATGGGAATAATCCGCCCATCCAAAAGTCGATGGACACCACCATTGCACGTTACCAAAGAAATTCGGTGACTGGCGCCCATGTGTTGGCTACAGGTCAATCCACAATGTTACCGTCCCTGATAAATACCCAATTCCGCACATGCACCACCTGACTTCAGCTTTATTTGGAAAATCAATTTTCATCAAAATCGACCTAGTGCGCGTCTACCTTCAGATGCCGGTTGCGCCAGACCACATAGATAAAACAGCGGTCATTACACCGGTTAGGTTATTCGAGTACCTCAGAATACCTTTCGGCCTCAACAACGCAGCTTAAGCTTTTCAGCGTTTTATTCATGAGGTAACACGAGGACTCAAATGCGTTTATCCTTACTTGGATGATATCCCCATCTCCAGCTCTTCTGACGATAAACACCTCCGTAATCTTGACGCACTCTTCCAACGATTGGACCAACATGGGGCTACAGTCATGCACGACAATTAGGAACTTGGCCAAAGCTCCATCGACTTTCTTGGCCACGTGATATCCTTAGCTATTATAGAAGCCCTGTAAGGCAAAATCCAGGCAATGAAGGATTCTCCTGCTCCTCGCTCCTTCATACAGCTACGTCGATTCCTTGGTCTGGTCACCTATTAGCGACACCTAAGTCCTAACTGCGCGAGCATTGTACAGCCAATGGCCGACTTGCTTCGCTGTAACAAACCCTCTTTTCACTCTCCAGAAGATGTCAAAGTGGCTTTCGAGAAGCTGAAAGACCCTGTCTCCAACATAACGCTTTTTGCCGATCCAGATCCAGCTACACAAATTTCTCTTACGACTGATACATCAGACACCGCCGTCGATGAAGTTATTCAACAGCTCACCCACCATAGCTGGATACCACGATTTCTTTTCCTTAACGTCTACAATCCGCGGAATCGTGTTACAGCACATTTGGTACGGAACTACTAACAAGCTAGCTAGGTATCCGACACTTCCCCCACTGCCTCGAAGCTCGATATTTTACTGTCTTCATTGGCCACAGGCGAGTGATCTACGCAATCAACGGCGCGACAGATAAGTACTCACTGCGGATAAATAGACACCGAGACTACGTCTCTCAGTTCACGAAAGACCTATGACATACCTCAGGAGCTAGTAATCCCGTCGCGGATGCTCGTTCACGTATCCAACAAATCAGCTTGGCACCCAAAACCAACATCAACCTAGCCGTCATGACTGCTGCTCAGCAACCTGAGGCCGAGATAGACAACGTTTGACACAACACCTCTATGAAACTACGCGAAGTTCCACTAGCGTCATCTGAGGGGATCATTCTTTGTGACTTTTCACAAACCTCTCCCCGACCCGCGGTGACAACGACTATGCGCCGACTAGTGTACAACACTCTACACACTCTATCACCTCCTGGCATACGTGCTTCGCAGAAGTTCATAACGGAGTGCTTTGTTTGGCCCAACCTCAGCCGTGGGGTCCGATTTTGGACTCGCGCGTTGTCTAGAGTGTCAGCTCGCCAAAGTGTACAGATACATTAAAAGCACACTCGGCACATTTCCAGCTCCTGACTCTGCTTTTGTCCATGTCCACGTCCACCTGGTTGGACCCCCGCCTCCATATAAAGCCTACGTATATCTCCTCATCTGTGTGGACAGATTTGCACGTTGGCCAGAAGCAAATCTGATAGCCAACTGCTCATCTGAGTCAGTTGTAAGCGTTTTCCTATATCGGTGGGTAGCTCAATTCGACTGACCTACTATACTCATCACCGATCGAAGATCACGCTTTGATGGATCCTTCGGTAAACTTCGGAATGCACTTGGTTGCCAGCACAACAAACCATCACATACCACCCTCCATCTAACGGGATAGTAGAAACCTTCCATCGGCAAAGTAAAGTATCACTATGCGCCCAATCTAACGCACCCTAGCGTGAAGCCCTTCCGTTGGTTTCCTTGGGCAAAAAACGATTAAAGCGGATTTGCACACCACTCCAACTTTGTTAGTTTTTGGTTACACACAAAGCTTGCCTGGTGAACTTACCTCACCAAACTCGCCATTAGCTTTCGACTATGGCGATTACGCAGCTCGCCTACCTTATCACATGCGATAACAACAGCCTGTGCAACCCAGAGCACAGATCTTGCTTACAAACGTGGAAGAAAGCTTAACCACTAGCACGCAAGTGTTCAATCGCACTGACAGCACATGCCAGCCACTTCGATCTCCTTATTCTGGCCCGTACCTTATGGTACGTAGGAGCAACAAGACATTTAACCTTGACTATGATTGTAAAACTGACACAATCATCATCGGCAGACTCAAGGCAGCATTCCTCGATAACTGACGCTTTTGGTACAACACGAACCATCTCGCTATCACGGCTAGCACCGCAACCTCAGATTAGTCACTCCGCTCTAGCGGAACCTACAACCTCAACCGACCACACCTTTACTCGCCCTAGTATCAACCGACGTGGAATGGAGGTCAAGCCCCCGGTACGTATTTCCGACTTTTTTAGTGCATATTCTTTTACATGAAGCGTGCGTCGCACATATATATGCTCTTACAAAGCATTTCCAACGTCTACAAAAAAAGAGAAAAACGTTTTGCAATTAGTTAAAAGTGCGAAACCTTTAGAAAACCCCAAAAATAGTTTCCCAAATGTTTCGCTTTGCACTCTTTTGTCTATTGTCATGCGTTTGCGCTGTTCGTTTTAGTTTGCTCTTCATGTACACACCGTCAGTTAGTTGCCACTTGGTTTCACGTTTAGCTGGGTACCAACAACCTCAACTGGAGGCGCAACGAACTTCCTGCTTAACCAGCTACGTGAACTTTAGGAACTGCCCCCCCCCCACAAGCATCTTCTTTCGTCAGTAATAAATCGGAATACCTGTAGCTCGGGTGATCTGTTCAAATTTTGTTCTGCTCTCCGTGCTGAACAGTTTCATTGCAAACGTTTCATCACCAATCCTGGTGACTTCTTCAGTGCGTAATAAGCCAAATGAGTTGTTTTGCCAACTCTTACAGACGAGCGAGTGACATTTGAACTTGCACACTTCGATACAGGTCCCGTGACCATTGCTAGTTCGGAGCTCGAGCGCCGCCTCTTTTCGACTCATGTGCCACATAAACTCTTTTATCGCAGCTGCCCGTATATTGGATCCAAGTCGATGCGTTGGTTTATTGAACTATCTGTAGAAAACCAGCCTTCGAGGAATTCTCTCTGCTTTTGGTTTCTCCTTACGCTAATGTCTCCGTTTTCTCCCAATCAAATATGTGCCCTTCTTCATCAACGTGTGTAGAGACCAAGGATGATGGGTAATGGTTCCGACATGCTCGTTTGTGTTCTTGTAGCCGTGTAGACAATTTCCTTCCTGTTTGGCCTACATAGTTCTTATCACAATTTTTACACTGTATCCTGTAAATAGTGTTCCGGCGTTCGTGTGCTCTCGTTTTCCCTTTCGGTCTATACAGGGTTCCTTTCAGAATGTTGGTGGGTATGTGAGCCAATAGCAAATGTTGAGGCTTGAGGAGTCTAGCAGTCAGTTCCGATACGTTCTTGATATATGGTAAAACGATCCGTTTCCTTGCTTGTTCAGGTGTGGTATTTGAACTCTTGTGGTTCATGCATCTTCCGATGAAAGTACATGGATATCCGTTGCACATAAAGGATGTAAATAAATGGTATTCTTCTTCGTGTTTTTCTTCTGCAGTATTTGATTTGCTTGGGAAAAACGGAGATATTAGCACAAGGAGAAACCAAAAGCAGAGAGAATTTCTCGAAGGCTGGTTTTCTACAGATAGTTCAATAAACCAACGCATCGACTTGGATCCAATATACGGGCAGCTGCGATAAAAGAGTTTATGTGGCACATGAGTCGAAAAGAGGCGGCGCTCGAGCTCCGAACTAGCAATGGTCACGGGACCTGTATCGAAGTGAGCAAGTTCAAACGTCACTCGCTCGTCTGTAAGAGTTGACAAGACAACTCATTTGGCTTATTACGCACTGAAGAAGTCACCATGATTGGTGTTGTAACGTTTGCAGTGAAACTGTTCGGCTCGGAAAGCAGAACAAAATCTCTTTTCATTTCGAGACCGTAGGGAGGACAAGGGTAAGAGCCTGCTAGGGTCCGATTGCATGACTCTCCTCCAGCAGCTGCATCAGGATTCACAATCTGGTCCCACAGAAGGCTGCCCTTCGGCGGACAGTCCTCAGGTAAATCAAAGAACTGCTTACACAGGATCTTAGGGGAGAGGGCTATACAGCAGTCCTGAGATTCACCAGTGTCTGTGTAAAATTCTAACCAAAATTGTTATTTTTTTTTACACTTAAGCGACCGGTGTGGATTGTTGAACTGGTTGCTGAGTTCGATTGAAGTATCCGAACAACGTCATTTTTTTCGCGCTCGTTGACATTGCAAGGCGCAATTATCTTGTCCATACAATTTCGTTTCCCTAGCCAGTAGTGTCAACGGTGCCGTTTGTTATAAATAAGCAAACATGAAACCTCTTGTTGTACTAATAAAAGATTCCCTGCAACCCTATCGTTTTTCTGGAATTGCTATCCTGATCCTGTTAAAGTTATTTATTGAATTTACGAGCATGGAGACCAATATGAATTTATAGTTAGCCGATGTTCTAATTTCTTTGCATTCCGCATTTAGTGTTTGGGTACAAAGTTATGTGTTTAAATGCATTCGCTATTACTTAAGCGAGTTAAAATAGTTCTAATTCCGGTTCATGAGAATATGTTTCTAGTGCCACACAAAGCTTCCCTGAGGGCTGGGCCTTCAAATTTGGCCGTGCTCTACATTTTTTACTATCTAGAGAATTATTGGCACACACGCTTTCGATGATCCTTCCTAAATGTGCGTTGGTTCACTAGCCTAATATTCTTTTCTTTACTCATTACCATGATAAGTTATACGTGCGATGTTCTAAAGTCGTTACATGCCTTCGTGCAAGTTAATAATGATAAGCTGTCTATCAAGAATAAAATAAGAAAAGTCTGCAAGAAAATGGAACAAATCTATAAAAAAGCATCATGCGGAGTGGAAAGTTGCTTTGAGAGAGAACAGCGTGACAAGCAAGATCGTTTCTACTTTTCTAACCGCCAGTGTTCGTTCACTGTTGGGAAATATGGTCGACATTAAAACATTATTACCGCTCGCGAATATGCGCAACTTTGCAACAAGATGCTACAAAAAACATGGCTCCATAAAGGTGTTGAAGACCATGTTGTTGCACTTGACCAGTCTGTTTGTTTCCGTGCTGATCGCCCATGCGCCTACCGGATTCGTGGTGGCGGAGTCGTAACATTTATTAACGCCTCTATGTGCTTGTCAGTGAAAAGCCACTTTTGTTACACTTCCCACGGTATAGATTGCTTGGTCCTACAGTGTACAGCAAAACGTCTGAACGGGTACCGCCCAATATGACTGACCAATTTCTATATATCCATCGGTTGTTCCAAATCAGAGAAGGACAAATTTTACGGTGATTTTACGGCTGCTGTTATTGGGAACATCGAGCACTCACTGTGTTTATTTTCTGACGATTTCAACAGATTTAACACAACATTCCTTACTTTTCTTGGGATACAGAATATTGTAAATGTCTCACCAGGTTAGAAACTACCCTGAATTTGGTATTTGTCAATACTGTAAAGTTATTTTCGGTATGCAGTCGGACACCATTTGGCTGCGCAGATCATGTTTTTGTCAAGTTAATCCCTGTTAGGAAACAATGGTTTTCTTGAGGTTTTGCAGATAAGGAAACAGCTTAGCGGAGTCACCTGTAAACGCACAAATTCTGATACGGATGTAGGTGAATTAAATCGTAAGCTCATCCACACTAGCAGCGCGTCATTTTTTATGTACAAGCCGTATCATTTCAGTGGTCTAGGGACTAACTGCTTCCTGTCGACGTCGCATCACTGTACAAGAAGCTAGCCCAGTTGTGCTCAGGCAAGACCTGCTGAGTTGAAAGGTTGTCTCCAGTCGTCCTGAAGCAGTGTACCGATTCTTTAGCTCCGGCTCTGGCCGAGCTATACATAATATGCTCAGAACAAGGAAAGAACGCTGAGGTTTGAGGATTGCCAGCATAATGCCAGTATCGAAGAAAGGGACGGGCAAATATCGGTCTATTGCACCCACCTCGGTGGCTTTGAAGGTTTTTGAGGAAATCATTCTTTACAAAATGCTGGCTCAGACCCGTTTAGATAGCCCATCTCAACTGGCATATAGAAGTTCAAGATCCACACAATATACAGTGAGTTGTCTAGTGCATTCAGTCTTGTTATGCTAGACGGTAAAAGCAAAGCAACACTTGTTTGCTTTCTCGACTAAAGCAACACCTTCAGTTTTCTGAACCGTAAATTACTGTCGCAAAATCTACAAACGTCTGGTATCCAACGTTCCCTAGTATTTTTGCTGAAGGACTATTTCGCCAAACGTACTCACATCAACAGGTTTGGCGGCAAAAGCTCCTCACCACTTACCACAACACCCCAGGTCATTCAAGGTACAATTTTGTCACCATTCTTGTTCCCTGCCAACGTTAACTCTCTACCTATTCTAGAAGAAAACCAAGCTGTTAAAATATGCAGGTGCTGTTCTCATCGGTGTGAAGCATAAAACATCAGCCCCATTAGATAACATGCAATGTTGTTTCGACGAATTAGTGCAACAATCAAATTCCCACTGCTTGACGCTGTATGCGTCCAAAATTACTGATATTCTGTTCTCACTTCATAAAGTATCCCGTTACCAACAACTTTCACGGAACGTCCCTAACTTCAGATTGAAGATGAATGTTTGAACTTATGTACGTAAGTGAAGTGTTCTCTAGTTGCACTAAGCCCCGATTTATCATGGTCACTGCACGTGAATCGAATATTCACCAAGGTCATGTGACTTTCATTTAACATCGCTCGATTGAGATAATCCTGTGTACCATACAAATTGCTTATGAAGTTCATCAGTGCATGCATTCTACAACACTGCACTTATTGTTTTCATGTGGTTTTTCCAGATCTAATGTGTAAGCATTTCACTCGGCATGACAGATCACTGAAGCACTTGTCCTGCTGCAATGGTATACAAAGCCAACTTTGGCAAAACCCATTGTATCAACGCATGACAATTTATGCAACAGACTTCCTTCAAAAATACTCACTGACATTAGCCACTCTCTTCACACTGTACTCTTCAATTACTTTTCTACCTCGTCGACCAGACAAAAGTACTGAACAATAGATGCCCGCACAAAGCCTATGGTTTGTCGGTCATCATCTAAAAAGCCCGAGTAACCTTTTGACTAAAATGCTGTTTTTCAGGAACAGTTCAGTAAATCCTGTCTTGCTGATTGATCTGTCTCCTTGAACTGATTTTTTGTCATTTCGATAGCATGTGTGTCAGGTCTGAAAATTCAAATAATTATATATATATTTATACATATATATATGTATTATACACAATCAATTGTGCCCCATGCT